AAGAACTAAACCAAACGACACTCACTTTCCTCCCTGCCTAACAAAAACAGGAGAAAACTGATCAAACAAAAAGGCGGTCCACCCCTACATGCTCTTACATCGAGTAACATAACACAGTGACACAGTGAATGGTCTGCCGATTGGGTTGGGCCGAGGATGAATGAGGTAGCAGTCGCCGGCGGTCTTCTTTATCCGCAGCCTCCCGGTCCGCAGCCAATCGGTGCGAGGCATCCACCCTGGACGCACCAATCCCGGAGGAGCACCTGGACACTCAAATTTGCATGTGATTAAGATCAGTCGTAACACTGGACTTATTTTTCTACGAAGGTTTGAACTTTGAGAGTGTTTAAACAAGAGAGAAAAGTGTGAAAATGTTAGTGCCTGTCTGAGAAAATTGTATAAAGTTTGTAGTGAGGGGTTTTACAGCCTTAAAACATCTATAATAATTGTAAAAAATAAAATTAGCTACTTTGTGGATTTCACTTATCACGGGTTATTTTTAGGATGTAACTCCCGTGATTAGCGAGGGACCACTGTAATTACATTAAAATCCAGCTTAGTTCAGTAGATTAACTTTGAGCTTTAAAAAATGACTGCATTGTTCGCCTACCAGAATGTATTACGTTTTCACCTACTTTGACAATATTATCAGTGAAAATAAGTAACGTGCAAAAAAACCCCAAATCACTAATATTTAATAGTAATTTCTTTCCCCCCCTGACCTTTGCACGGACAAAATCTGATCATTGTATTGAGTTGTGGAATTTGATGTCTCTATCTATGCAAGATGCCAGGCACACATACAGTTAAATAGTCAGCTAAAAGGTGATAGCTCTAGGGCAATGTTCCCTCTAATTTTTCATGTATCTGAGCAAACACACAAACTCCCTGAGCGATCCCTTGGACCACCGTGAGCAACATTAGACGTGTGCACTGTGGTCACTCCAGCGTCGAATCCATCCAAGTTACATGGTTTATTAAAATAATCAAATTACAGCATTTACATTTATGTTAGGCTACTTTTAAATAACTGCTTTTAGTCCACTTACAATGAAAATGAGAAAAATCTTGTTCATGACCTGTGTAGTATGTTAACACTATTGGAAGTAAAAATAACTCGAAAAATAACTTAACTCCAATTTTGAAAGCACAACTTTTTTTTTATAAAGCTCTAACTGGTATTATGAGTATGAGTCTGTGGTCTGGAAGAGAGTCCTGTAACTCTGTCTGCAAAATACAGTATATAATGACCAATGTTGGGCAATTAATTACATAGTTACTTCTTCAAAAAAGTAACTGAGTTTTGCAAACAACAAAGTTTTTTGCAGCTGTTTACCTAAAAACTATTAAATCAGGTGTTCAGCATCAAATCTGATGCCACACAAATTATTTGTGCCACTCCAAAAAATAATTTCTGTCCACTATGAGATAAAGGAGAAAAACAGTTACCTGCAGGCCTGACAACAGGAGATGTATCGCTCCTGTAACATTCAGCAGTCGCCTCATTGTTCTGACACACACAACAAAACTATTGACTACATTACACTACACACTAACTACACAAGATTTGCGCTAAACGTCGCACATCTCAAACACCGCCATCACTCGTAAAACTTCCCCCCATTTCTTAACAACTAAATGCCATGTTGCCATATAAGTTTTTGATTGGTCGACATGGTACATTTTTCCACCAATTGGAAAGGGCGGGGTTTTTTGCTTTTGTTTTTGCTCACAGGCGGAGAGTGCTTTCGAGTGTTTCTTCCCGCAGTAAAAATAAACAACGATAGTATTCAGAAAGGTAACCAAATATAACTCTGGTTTTACGTGGCCTATCAACAGAATTTAAAAACTGGTATAAAGTCCACACTTGTTCCGTCTGTCCTGCTCACATCTCCAATGGTTGTACACGTTGTCATTAACGTGGCTTCACTCCACAGTAGCCACGCCGCTTTGCTAGCTAAAACACCGGTGTCGGCACATAAGGACGCTGTCATAGCCTGTCGACGTTGATTAGCTGCGTATATACGAATGTGAATCGCATGATTGGCTGGACTATGGGATAAGGCGGCATGTTCTAATCCCATACAGGAGCAGCTAGTCACTTACTGACTAACACTGCAAAACAGAATTGTTAACGTATTAATTTTAATTTTAATTCAGGTTAGATTTTTTTTGTTTGCAACGCAGATTTTCTGTGCCCAGAGACTGTGCCAGCAGTGCGCAATTGCACACGCACGCAGCTTAGAGGGAACATAGCTCTGTCATATGTTGGTTTATCATTTATTTTACCTAATATGTGTGTAATTTAGCAGCTATATGGCAGACAGACAGTGGACTGAGATGCAAAGCCAAATGTGGTGGTCAGGAGCAAATCAAACTGAAAATCAGGAAACACTGAGCAGGGACACACACAACTAAGTTTTCTCTGTTGATCTCACGTGGACCCACAGCAGCTGCACTTCCTTCATGTCCTGATAAAGAATAACCTGGACTGGAAGCTGCTGCTGGCCAATGTGAATCATTTGCTAATACCTAAACACTAAGGATTTGAAAGAAAACATCATCGTTATTTTGTAGCCAGTTGGTGTACTTATGAGTCACACGATTTGTCATTCTCTGCGTTTGGGTCATCAACTCAAACCTCACTGGGTCTGCAGCCACGGACCTTGACACTCCCTGCATCCTGCTGGCGAAACAAGTCATTTTAAATTGTAACTGTGGTACTGCCTATTTGAAACCTTCATTCCAAATAGCTGCAAATAGCTGCTCATAAAGGAGTCATATGATTGCTGGAGTTCTTTTACTAATATTGTAATATTGTCCCATAGCATAAACAAGTAGCAAATCTGGGTTTGTCAAAGCCAGGATAAATCATTATCCATGTTTCAAAACACCCAAACAAAATGACTACATGTAAAATGCATAAACATGAACAGTGCATATTCCCACAGCAGGCCACTCTTTCTTATGGTTTCTTTTGAAGATACTCCAAAACACCTTCATGCTGGAAGGGATTCACAGCTGTCTTCAAAATTTTATTTCTTTCTTGGCAGTTTATTTCTAAACTCTAGAACAATATGTGCTACATTCCATCACCTGACATTTGGGACAGAAATATTGGTATCCAACAAGCTTTCAGCTTTCAGGCAAAGTTGTTTTTAGGAATTAAAGTAAAGGGTATTTGGTATGAATTTGCATTTCATATCCTTGTGGTTTGCAAGAACTTCAAATAGCTGATCTTATCTTTTTTGTTCCGTCTGTTTGGTAACCTCTTGATTTCTTTTACTTTTGCATGAATTCTTCACGCCTGTTCATTGAAGAGGGTGGAAAACACATCAGGCAAACAGAAGATTACAATGTATTTTTAAATTACTCCAGTGATGTATTAATGGAAATTTTTGTCTTGTTTGGGATCACTTTGAATTGTTGCTGTTTACATTTGTTTTCACCTGATTTAGTTTTACCTGATTTGAAGTTTAAACAATAAGTTTAAAATTAACTAAAAGCCTACACTACTGCAAAACCATTTTTTGAAGTTAAAACATTATTTTCAGTATTTAAGACCAGCAGTGTGAATGTTGTGACTAAGCAGCAACCTGAGCAGAGCAGCTACCTGAACGCTACTCCAACAGAGGTCGATTATCTTGTTAATGATTTCACCTCTTCACTACGTATGACTCTGGATACAGTAGCTCCTGTAAAAAATAGAGCCTTAAAAATAGTTTGCTGCTTTGTAAAAAGAAAGCCCTCTGTGAATTTAGAACATCTTACATCACTGATTGAAGAAAATAAGAATAACCCTAGATTTGTCTTCAACACTGTAGCCAGCCTGACAAAAAGTCAGAGCACTGTTGAACCAACCATCGTTTAATGTTACCTAGTAATTACTTCATGAACTTCTTCACAAATAAAATTTTAACCATTAGAATTTTAACCATTCCTCCGTGAATCGCAACCTTATCGTGGTGGAGGGGTTTGTGTGTCCCAGGGATCCCAGGGGCTATGTTGTCTGGGGGCTTTTGCCCCCTGGTAGGGTCTCCCATGGCAAATTGGTCCTGGGTGAGGGACCAGACAAAGAGCGATTCAGAAGACCCCTATGAAAA